TCTGGGACCGTTAGGAACTGAATCAGGGCATTTCGTTCAGCCACCTCATTTTCACCAAATAAACATACACATTCTTATGAAGCGATTTCTCCATCATATAATGTTTGTTCTGCATGTTATTTTCATGATTATATGCTCTTTTATGCATACTTGCCCACAGCATATGCATTTTTGCACACATTACTTTGCTGCCGAACGGCTTGGCAAAATTCGGAGGGTTCCAAGGGAAAGTTGCATTTCAGTTCACCAAGTGCAAATGAGGTCGGTTTGCCTTTAAATGCAAATGGAATCAAATTCCTCCCCTTTCCCCTCCCCCTCCCTGTCACACCCCCTACTCATGGGATGGACCACCCTTAAGCCCAGCTTCCTGTGAAGGGAGGGAGGCTGCAGCAGCTCGCGGCTCATGGGGGAAGAGCTATAATTATCTACAGAGGCCAGATTTTATTTTGGGAAGGATCTGGCCCGCTGCCCAGGCCTCTCTCTTCCCAACAGCCAAACCCAGCAGGGCCAGACCTGTTGCAGAGACAAGCACCCAGACTGCAAAGCAACATTCATCTTACCCATTCTTGCAGTTGTCCCCAGACACCTTTTTCACGTAGCACATGCATTCCCACGGGAGGCAGTGAGGGCCACCAACCCAAGTGGCTTTGAAAATTCATGGAGGAGAGGGCTATTGAAAGCTACTAGCCAGAATGTCTATGCTGTGCCTCCACAGTCAGAAGCAGATGCTAAAAACTGCAGAAGAGGAGAGGGCTTGTGTTCAAATCCTATTCGCCTGTTTCCCAAAAGAGGCATTTGGATGGCTACTGTGAGAACAGGATGCTGGGATAGCTCAGTTGGTAGAGTAAAGGTAAAGGGACCCCTGACTATTAGGTCCAGTCGTGGCCGACTCTGGGGTTGCGGTGTTCATCTCGCTTTATTGGGCGATGGAGCCGGCGTACAGCTTCCGGGTCATGTGGCCAGCATGACTAAGCTGCTTCTGGCAAACCAAAGCAGTGCATGGAAACGCCGTTTACCTTGCCGCCGGAGTGGTACCTATTTATCTACTTGCACTTTGACCTGCTTTCGAACTGCCAGGTGGGCAGGAGCAGGGACCGAGCAATGGGAGCTCAACCCGTTGCGGGGATTCGAACCGCTGACCTTCTGATCAGCAAGTCCTAGGCTCTGTGGTTTAACCCACAGCGCCACCCGTGTCCCTTCAGTTGGTAGAGTATGAGGCTCTTAATCTCAGGGTTGTGGGTTCAAGTCCCATGTTGGGCAAAACACTCCTGCATTGTAGGGGGGTTGGAGTAGATGACTCTCGTGGTCCCTTCCAACTCTATGATTCTATGTTCTTATGTTCTCCACCCCTTTTAAGCCAGCCTTGGTTAATTTTTATTTTATTTTTAATAAACCAACCTTGCTCTTGCGTCTTTAACAGCCGCCCGATGTGCAACAATTCAACAGGTGAAGCTATTCCTGGTGAAGTCTATTAGTATACCTGTCAGAGTGGCACATCCACCTTGAAGCCCTCGGGCAATTATGTGGCCTTGCATAGGCACAATTAGCCAGAAGGGGAATTAAAACAGTGGTATCTCGGGTTAAGAACTTAATTCGTTCTGGAGGTCCATTCTTAACCTGAAACTGTTCTTAACCTGAGGTACCACTTTAGCTAATGGGGCCTCCTGCTGCCGCCGCGCCGCCGGAACACGATTTCTGTTCTCATCCTGAAGCAAAGTTCTTAACCTGAAGCACTATTTCTGGGTTAGTGGAGTCTGTAACCTGAAGCGTATGTAACCTGAAGCGTATATAACCCGAGGTACCACTGTACCCACAAGTAAGGCATTCTATAGCTGTGATTCCTGCATTGCAGGGGGTTGAACTAGATGGACCCTTTGGGTCCCTCCGAACTCTGTAATTCTAGGATTTTAAGTTCCAGTCAACAATGGTTTCCAGCAACATCATTTAAATTTCCAACTGGTATTAGCAACGTCTGTTAATTGCCCCTTGTGATTGCTCCACTGTCAAAATCTGTTCCCACCGGATGTGGCAGAGGAAGCTTCAATTACAAGTTCCTTAATATTCATTTCCTTTTTTAAAAAGTGCACTATTTTACTGTCATTAAAACTTGTCCACCCTCAGAGCAGAAGTCAATTAAAAGAGAGTCTTCCTTCTGGCTAATCCTACAGGCATCAACCTTGGTGGCCTCCATAATATATAGGAAACAAATAGATTGGAGAGGATTCAGGCAGAAGAATGCCTGGCCCGTTGTTAAATCAACACTGCCACCTCCCGGATGAACTCAAGATTGCTTGCATCCCATTTCTAGTGACATAAGATAGGAAATGTGCAGATGAGGGCAATCGAAGACAGAAAAGGACCTGAGACCCAAGCCTTATGAGGAAGGGTGAAGGGGGTTGGGGGTGTTTAGCCTGGAGAAGAGGGAATGGAGAGGTGATATGATAATGCCATCTTCAAATATCTAAAGGGCTGGCACATGGAAGACGGAGCAAGCTTGTTTCTCCTGCTCTGGCGGGTAGGACTTGAACCTATGGATTCAAGCTACAAGAATGGAAATTCCAACTAAACATTAGGAAGAACTTTCTGAGGGTAAGAGCTGTTCAACACTGGAATGGACTCACTTAGAAATTGGCAGAGGTTTATAAGCAGAGGCTGCATGGCCACCAGTCAGGATTCTTCAGCTGTGATTTCTGAGTTGCAGGGGTTTGTTCAAGATGACCCCTCGGGTCCCTTCCAGCTCTATCATTCTGCAATTCTATGCATCTAACTGGCCCCATGGGTCCCAGTCAGACCTCTTTCCACAACTGCTCTGCATGTGCCAACTGGTCACACCTGAAGGCTGTTCAGGTTGGAAAATGAAGGGAATAAATTCGGAAGAAGATTACCTCCCTCTCTCATAGCACTGGAACTCATCATGGACATCCCATGAAGCTGAATGTTGGAAGATTCAAGACACATAAAAGAAAGGACTTCTTTGTGCAATGCTGAGTTCAACTGTGGAGCTCACTCCCGCAGGAGGCAAAGATGGCCACTAACCCGGATGGTTTTAAAAGAGGATTAGATAAATCCATAATATGGCTATGAATGCCATACTAGCCAAAATGGTCTTATCTTGCAAAGGAACTGAGAGGCAACTGTTAGGATGGGCAACTAGGCAAGCAGACCTGGCTATGAGACAGTATCCTTGAGTGCAGCATTATTATTATTATTATTATAGTAGTAGTAGTAGTAGTAGTAGTAGTAGTATGAGAGCCAGTGTGGTGTGGTGGTCAGAGTGTCAAACTAGGTCCTGGGAGATCAATGTTTGAATGATGCTCACTGGGTGACCTTGGGCCAGTCCTGCTCTCTCAGCCTGACCTACTCATAGAGTTGTTGTGAGAGCCTTATAGTCATTTACACCTCCACCCCACCCCCACCTGGAATAAATAAATAAAATAAATAAATCCTTTTGATTTGTCAGCCACTTGTCACATAATAGATGATATCCAGGTGACTTACAACGCACCTCCGAGCTCCAGCATAGCCCGAAAATACTTTAGAATAAAAACACACACAGCTCATTGAAATCTACAAAGCACACCCCCCCAATGGCAGAGACAAGGTTCAGCAGCCCAAACTCACAGCAAATGGCATCATCATAGCCCAACAAATGTCTAGGAGTGGGGGCAGATAAGAAGTCAAGGACAGCACCAGGCAGACCTCACTGGGGAGAGAATGTTCTACAGGCAGGGAGCCACAATCAAAAAGGCTCTGCTCTCGATTGCCATCACCCTCTGAGTCTCCACTTAAAGGAAGCACCCAGAGAAGGGTGTCAAGATGAAGACCTAAAAGTCTGGTTGGGCTCATAGCCAAGGAGAGGCGTTCCAGAAGATATTGGGGTCCTGAGCCATCAAGAGCTTTGTAGGTCAGAAACCATCATTTTGAATGGGGTGTGGAAACCTAGGTTTCCCTTCTGCAATGTGGGACCACCTTCGTCCTCCTCAGTCTTCCACTTGAGTCAGATGCCTAATGTACTCTCTGACTAACGGGAGAGCCATCCGTTAGTCAGATATGCACAAATGATGAATTGGCATCAACTTTCTGAGAGTTCAACTTTCCCCCCCCTCTAATGATGGGTGGGAGACAGAAGCTGGGAGGTGACCTGTAGTAACATGAATTGCATCTGGTTCCCAAAGTGGGTGTCCACACACCCTGCGGGGCCGTGGGATTGCCAAGGCGGGTACTAAGAGGCAAGGGGAGGCACAGGAGCTAGTATCCCTGGATCCTCAGTTCTGTTGAATTAATTCAACAAATAGTTCTAATTCTCTTTTGATTAAATGTGCAAAGCATTGTTACCGTTTTGAATTGTGTTTTGTTATGATCTTCCCGAGCGGGTCTTGCCATTCATGATTCTGAATAACACCTTTTAAAGGTTTGGGGCCCTAGGGGTGAGTTTAGGGAACCAAAAGCTTAGGGACCACACCTAAAGTGTGATGTTTAAGGGTAAGGTAAAGGTAAAAGTACCCCTGCCCGTACCCCTGACTCTAGGGTTGTGCGCCCATCTCACTCAAGAGGCAAAGGTACTTCCGGGTCACGTGGCCAGCGTGACAAAGCTGCATCTGGCGAGCCAGCGCAGCACACAGAAACGCCGTTTACCTTCCCGCTAGTAAGCATTCCCTATTTATCTACTTGCACCCGGGGGTGCTTTCGAACTGCTAGGTTGGCAGGCGCTGGGACCGAGCAATGGGAGCGCACCCCGCCGCGGGGATTCGAACCGCTGACCTTTCGATCGGCAAGCCCTAGGCGCTGAGGCTTTTACCCACAGCGCCACCCGCGTCCCAATGGTCTTTAAGGGTAAGACCATTACTATTTTGAGGTCTACTTTTAATCCACCCTGTACCTCCTGAATAAAAGAGCAGACCTTACCTCCCTCGAGGGGGTTGGGTCCAATCCAACTGGGCAGGCAAGTCACGCAAATACTAAAGTGCTGAAGGGAACGTCACACAGAGGGTCCCTCTTACCTCTTCGTCTGGTGGGTTCAAGGAGGCATCGTCCCAAGCAGGGAAGAGGTTGGAGAGATGGGCGGTCAGGAGGTGGCAAGGATGAGAAAGAGAAGGGACCAAATTAGTGCAGCGTCACACCCAAGAGCTAAGCAGAGGGGCTTTGTAGGAGCCTCAGAATCCCCATGGCTGTCAGGATGGATACATTTGGGCGACCAGGGAGAGCTGGCTCATTCTCCTTCACCCGATGAGAAACACCCCCACCCACCCATCACATCCATCCCAAGATACATCCATCTCAGTTCAGGGAATCCCAACAGCTGTGGCGCTTCCAGTGCAAACACAGAGTTCCCAAATCAGCTGATCCACCATGCAGTGCCTGACTCTGCCCCCTATCAATACTAGATCTGGCCCTTGCCCTGCAAGGCTCCATCCCATGATCTCCTAGACTCTGCCCTTTTTCAGCCGCAGGGAGAAGGAAGGGGTGTGCGATGGGGACGGACCGCCCCGGGTGTCACCACTGAGGGGGGTGACAAAATGCCGGGCGGCATTCGCCTTGTGGCCTGCAGCACGCCCAAGCCACGCGTCTCTCCTGGGAGTGACGCTGTGGCTTGGGCACCCGCAGGCTCCAAATGGTCCACCTACCGTCTCCCCCTCAGTTGTAGGGCGGCTGAGTGGGAGGAGGCAGGTAGACTCCTTGGAGGCCCCGCCGCTGGGTGCAGGGCACACGTGCTGCCCCAGGTGCCCGATTGGCTTGCTCCGCCGCTGTTCAGCCACAGAATGGCAACTCTTAGCATTTTTACCATTATTATGATGATGACTACTAGTATTACTAGTAGTAGTATTGTTTTAGTCATCATTGTTATTAATGAGATGATGATGGTGATTGAATTATTATAGTTCCACCCATGCACAAGGCTCTGTACACAATTAAAATAAGAAATTCCACCCTGGAGGGTATGCAGCCCCAAACAACAAATTTAAACAATAAAAAATCAATGCTTTAAAATGTGTAATTCACAATCCACAGCACCGTGTATAATAAAACTCTCTAACCAGCCCCAAAGGCCTTAGGAAAAAAAGATGAGTTTTAAAAAGAAACTTAAACGTATGAAGTGAGGGGGCAGCCCACAAATGTTCCAGAAGACGATTCTAAAGATAATGGGAGAAAGAACTCTGCTGACCAGTCCTGGCCTTTTGACCGCCCTTCAGTGCTGCTCCTGTCTTCCCTTAACCATGCCACTCTGAGCCACAGGAAATTCTGGGTAAATTCAGAATTGCTGACTCTGAGTGATCGATTGGCTAATACCATTACCAACATAAGAAGAACCCTGCAGGATCAGGCCCATGGCCCATCTTGGCCCAGCATCCTGTTCTCCCAGTGGCCGACCAGATGCCCCCAATGGGAATCCCACAAGCAGGACTTGAGTGTAACAGCATCACTCTCCCCTACAACCTAATTGTATGTTGCAAATCAGTTTCTGGTTTTAGTGGCGGGTGGCAGCAAGCAACGAGGATTCTCTCTTAGCATTTCCAGAGGGCTAGACGTCCGCTTACAGAGAAGACAGTGAAAAGCCTTGTGGTGCCTTGAATGGTGGAAGATTCATGGAATACTGAATCCAATACAGTGGTACCTCGGGTTAAGTACTTCGTTCTGGAGGTCTGTTCTTAACCTGAATCTGTTCTTAACCTGAAGCACCACTTTAGCTAATGGGGCCTCCTGCTGCCGCTGCACCGCCGGAGCATGATTTCTGTTCTCATCCTGAAGCAAAGTTCTTAACCCAAGGTACTATTTCTGGGTTAGAGGAGACTGTAACCTGAAGCGTATGTAACCCAAGGTACACTGTACAGTCATACCTCGGGTTGAATGTGAAGGAATTATGTATATATAAGTTTTCAGTTTTAAGCTTTAGGGCTTTCTATGGTAAGATAAGGTTAAAATAAATTAAGGTAATTTAATGACAGAATATAGTGAAAGATGGAAAGGATTTGCTGAGATAATTATTAACTAGAATACAAAAAAGGGAGGTGTGAGGAGGTCGATGAAACAAGTTAACGAAAGATAAAGATTTGGGAATACTGGATTTGTTTTTAATTTTTTTGTTTGTTTTTGTTTTTGGGTTTTGATGTATGGTGTGTTTTGTTTTTTTCTCTTTTTTCTTTTTATTGACTTGTATTGTTTAATTCTTTTCTTGTCTATTTTTTTTTCTTTTTCTTTCCCTCTTCTGTAATTTTAAATTTTTTTTAAAAAAATAATGAATGTGCTTCAGGTTGAGCACTTTCGGGTTGCACTCTGCGGCAACCCGGAAGTAACGGAGCACATTACTTCCGGGTTTCGCCACTCATGCATGCGCAGATGCTCAAAATGACATCACGCGCATGCGCGGAAGAGGCAAAACACGACCCATGCACGTGCAGACGCGCCATTGCGTCTTATGTTCCATTCAGGATGCGAACGGGGCTCTGGAACGGATCCTGTTCGCATCCCGAGGTACCACTGTACTTAATGTTGGGAGATTTAGGGCAGACAAAGTAAAGTCCTTCTTCGCACAACGCATAAACTATGGAAGTTGCACCCGCAGGAGGCAGCGATGGCTACCAACCCACATGCCTTTAAAAGAGGATTAGGCCAATTTATGGAGGAAAATAAAGCTATCGGTGGCTGCTATCCATTGTGGCTCTGCTCTGCCTCCACAGTCAGAGGCAGCAATGCTTCTGAACACCAGTTGCTGGAAACCACAGGAGGGGAGAGGACTCAGGTCCTGCTTTCAGGTTTCCCATTTGGCCTCTGTGAGAACAGGATGCTGGACCAGATGGGCCATTGGTCTGATCCAGCAGACTTTTACTGTGTCCTTATGTCCTCCAGCCCACCTGTGGTGTGAATCAGTGGAGGAATGGCAGGGTTTTAATGGGCCATGCTTGTGCACTAACCAGGGGAGGGGCAAACCTATCAATATTTTTCTCTGCTCGTTATCTTTATTTATGTTATTATTTATTGCAGTGGCGTAGCGTGGGGGGTGCAGGGGGGGCCGGCCGCACCGGGCACAACATCTGGGGGTTAGGGTTATGGGGTGCAAATCCACAGGTTAGGGGGCGCAAATCCACGGGTTAGGGGGCCAAATTACTTGCCTTGCCCCGGGTGCTGAAAACCCACGCTACGCCACTGATTTATTGCATCCCTAAGCAACCTTCTTCTCCAGGGAGTGAATGGTTCTCCTCCCACTTAATCCCCACAACAACCCTGTGAGGCAGTGGCTGGCCCCCAAGTTCACCACCCAGTGAGTTTTGCAGCCGAGTTACCCTACCTCACAGGGTTGTTGTTGGCATTAATTGAAGAAGAGGGAGACCCACGTGCATGCCGCATTGAGCACCTCAGAGAAAAAGGTGGAAATAAATAAATGTGCATGAGCATCAAAGAACATTTGCCACTAAAAATGAAAGGGACGGGAAAGAAACGATTACTTTGCACAGGCTAACAGAAACAAAGAAAAAAAGTCTACAGCCAAGGCCTGCAAGGGGGGGTGCATCAGATATAATGAAGAACCTCAAAATGTTTGGCAACTCTTTGGTAAGTCCTCTGCTGTTAATGAAGAATTTAAGGTATCTTCTATAGAATACAGTGGTACCTCGGGTTAATTACTTAATTCGTTCTGGAGGTCCGTACTTAACTTGAAACTGTTCTTAACCTGAAGCACCACTTTAGCTAATGGGGCCTCCTGCTGCTGCCACACCACCGGAGCACAATTTCTCTTCTCATCCTGAAGCAAAGTTCTTAACCTGAAGCACTATTTCTGGGTTAGCGGAGTCTGTAACCTGAAGCCTACGTAACCTGAAGCGTCTGTAACCCGAGGTACCACTGTATTGATTCGGCTGCTGTGTAATGGGACATGCTTCTCTTCTGATAGCAATTTTTTATTGTTTATTTCCCACCTTTTTCCTCTGAGGAGTTCAAGGCGGTGTGCACATGGTCTCCCCCTTCTCATTTTATCCTCACAACAACCCAGTGAGGTAGATTTGGCGGAGAGCCAGTGATGGGCCCAAGGTCACCTAGTGAGTTTCACCGACAGGTGAGGATTCGAACCCCAGTCTCGCCCAGGCCCTAGACGGACGTTCTAAGCACCATGCTGCACTGGTTCTCTATGATGCCAATGGCGCAGTCTCAATGTACATTTTACTCAGAAGCCCTGCTGTGTCCAGTGGGGTTTACTCCTAAGTCAGGATCACGGCACGACTTAAGACTCCCCAATTGCTAGTCAAGCAGCAGGGAGTGGAATAACTAGAAAATGGACAACGTCTTGCTGGAAGGAGCAGCAAGTTTTTGTTGATCTGTGACACCGAACACACACCCCAATTTGGCCCTGGTCCTACATCCTCAAGGCTTGCAGGAAAAGGATCCCAGGAAGGGACAATTTCAGGAAAGGCCACAGAGCCATTTCAGCACAGACACACAATGACAAATCAAAAACAGGAACTCTGCTTTCTTTCCCTTCCCTCTCGCCCCTTGGGATTGCGCTCCAAAAACACCCACCTTTCAGCCACCAGAGAACGTCCGTGTGCATCTCGTCCGAGACATCTAGAACAGAGGAAGAGGGAAAGAAGCATTAGGAGCTGCAGTGCAGCATCTGAGAGGCAGGAGGGAAGCTAGCCAGCCAGCCTGGGGATCCTGCTTGCGGGATTATTTTTATTGGCCAGGCTCCTGAACTCAGGAGGAGAAGAAGGAGTCAGAGGCTGGTGTCCGCACCACCTCCCTGCCTGGGGAGGGGAGGCACTCTGGCGAAGCCGAGCCCACAGTGGTGGCAGGGAAGGTGGCACAGACCCCACGCTTTTCCCAGTGGCGACCTTGGGGGTCTTGCGTCTCCCGCAAGCTGTTCTGCCCTTCGAAAGCCGAGCATCGGGGCCTTGTTTTAGCTCGGATCCAGCCCTGCTACAAGCAAACAGAGCCAGCAGCTTGCATGAGGGTTTGGGAGAAGGATATATGTGGGGCCTCCCCAAGATATTGTCAGACTCCAACTCACCCCCAAACTTTGGGCATGCTGGCCCCTGGGGCTGGTGGGATGTAGGGAAATTGACCTTTTAGCGGGGCAGCGTCTATTTTCTGGAACTCCCTGCCTTCTGACATCAGGGGGCGCCAGTACTCTCCTCTTTTTGGTGCCAGCTAAAAGCGTTTTAGTCTAGGCAAGCCTACCCAGGCAGGTAGAATGCTGACAGATGTTTTGATCTGTTTTTGGTTTATTGCTGGTTTTGATTCTTTTAAAATGTTTTAAAGAGTTGGTTTCGCTGATAATTTTATTGCTTTACAGTGGTCCCTTGGTTCTGAAACGCCTTGGTACTCAAACAACTTGGAACCCAAACACTGCAAACCCAGAAGTAAGTGTTCCGATTTGCAAACTTTTTTTGGAAGCCAAATGTGCTTCGTTTTGATTGGAGTGCCACACTTCTGTTTTGAGTGTTACGCCAAGGTCTGTCTCAGCGTTTTTTGTTTTTATTTTTGCAGCTCTTTTTTGTGGCTATTTTTTGTGACTGTGTGGAACCCAGTTCAGCTACTGATTGATTGATTGATTGTGTGACTGCAGTACATTGTTTATTGTTTTCATTTTATGGATCAATGGTCTCATTAGATAGTAAAAATTCATGTTAAATTGCTGTTTTAGGTGTTGTTTTTTTAAATCTGGAATGGATTAATCCATTTTGCATTACTTTCTATCGGAAAGTGTGCCTTGGTTTTGGAACGCTTTGGTTTTGGAACGGACTTCTGGAACGGGTTAAGTTTGAGAACCAAGGTACCACTGTATTCTCCTTGTAAACTGACTTGAGGGTTTCATTTTGTTTTTACAAAATAAATAAGTAATAAAAGCAGCAGCAGGAACAACAGTAATCTTCCCCTCTTGTCACTTCCAGGCCCCCTCCAAACAAGGCCCCACCGCCCATTGCCTCTGGCGCCCCCTAGTGTCGGACTCCGTGCCTTACACACACATACACAACCATTCCCAATGGGCTGCCACTGGTGGCAAAGCAACCTGCTTGGCATGCAGAAGGTCCTCAGTTCAATCCCTAAGGGCATCTCCAATTAATGTTATGCTGCACCGTGACCCTGTCTCTGCTGACCTGAGTGAGTGCCGTATGTAGGAGCCGTGCTTGGGAGAGGTGGAGAAATCCCATCCTTTCCTCATTTTAAGGCGGAACCACCTGATTCGCACTTCCCAAATCAACATGCCTCCCAAAACACAGTTCATCTTACAAAATTCGCATTTCTCCGAAATTTGCAATGCATTTCTCCATCCAAGCGACATGTGCAGAAGTGCATGTACTTGGTGCAGTAAAGCGTGCATTAAAAGGCATGTGTCCGGCACAATGACATCAAGAAATGCATTTGATATGGGGAAGCTGTTTTGCCAAAATGAGTATATTATGCAATATTAAATGCGAAAAGGTGTATGTTGGGAGGAAATCACAGTAAAAATGCTGGTGAATTTTCATGGGTTGTTTTTTTTTTTTAATGCAAACTGTGAAAATGTGGAATGAGAGAGACTGAAAAGGATATTTCAGTATTTTTTTTCTGCCTTGCCCTTAGCTGAACAGGAACTGGACTGAGAGCCAGCCCTACCACAAGGCAGGTTGAGACAGTGACCTTGGGAAGCCATTTTTCCACACAGGGCTGAGCGAAGGCCTTCTGTTGACTGAATTTATACCCTGCCTTCTTCCCAGAGGAGCCTGAGTGGGGAGAAGGTGGTGCCAACCTCCAAACTCATGGATGGAACTCAACTGGACAGGCAGTGGGATCCTTCTTCAGAGTGAGGCAGCAGCCTCGGGCGGCAGGGGCCGTAGGAGTGGCAAACAGCAGTCCTGCAACCCTTCCTCCTGTGCCCCCTAAGCTAACCTTTACTCTGCACCCCCTAAGCTGCCCTCCTGCCTTAGGCACAGTTGGGGATGTTGTCGAAATAAGAGTCATTTGTGAGTCCAGTCAGATTCTGTATGTCGAATGGGGGCGGGTATCGTCCTTTGCCTCAGGTGGCAAAATGTATTGGACCAGCCCTCACCGGGTCTGATGACTGCACTACTGTGTCCAGCCCTGCCTAGCTCAGCACTGGCCACTCTGACTGGCAGCAGCACCACCTCTTCAGAGTTTCAGGCAAAGAAACCTACCTAACTGGGGACACCAGGAATGGAACGCAGGACCTTCCACATGCAAACAGGGAATCATAGATTTGCAGAACTGGCAGGGACACAAAGGGTCATTTAGTCCAACCCCTTATAATGCAGGAATCACAGCTAAAGCTGACTTCATGTTTTAATATATATTTTTAAACTAATGGGGTGGGGTGGGGCTTTTTATTTCATCTTTGCAAATCCACCTTCCTTGCCTCTGATGAGCGCAGCCTCCTCTGCCCTCCTCAAGGGGGGGCCCAGCCTGGTGGCACGAGATGCAGCCCAGCAGACTCCTGCAACATACCCACAAAGAAAGCACTAAACCTCAGGGGGTCCTTCCCTCGCCGCAGGTTGATGAGGTCATCGGCCTCACTGCTGGGACCCACACACGCCGGCCTCTGGTCCAGGTGGGCAGGCGGCTCTTCAAAACGCGCTGTCTGTCTTGGCAGGTCTTGGCTCGAGGTGGAAATGGCATCCTGCGGCAAACCCAAGGCTTCCTCCAACTCCCCAGGAAAAACCTTTGCTGGGTCTGGAGCCGGCGGGCTGCTTAACATCTCCCTCAAGTCCGGAGCTAAGCTGGAGCGAGGCTTCTCCCTCAAATCTGGAGCTGGCAGGCTGCAGGGCTTCTCCCTCAAATCCAGAGCTAAGCTGGAATGCTTCTCTCCGAAGTCTGGAGCTGGTAGGCTGAGGTGCCTGTCCATCACATCCGGGGTGGGAGGGCTTTGGCCTGGCTGGAGCAAAGGCCACCAAGTTGACTGAGGCCCAAACTTGCTTAAGGGCCTTGGAGGCAAGAGTCCCCAGTTCACGGTGGCCTCTGGATCCGACAGGGGCCTGGGTCTTGCTATGGTGGCACTGGTGGGCTGAAGAGAACCTCTCGGAAGCTGATGGGCATCGAGGCCAGGCTCTGACTGGGCCCAAGCCGGCCCAAGGCTCCCGTGCGGTGGGGTCTCCCTGACGAGGGAGCCCCTGTGTGGAATATCAGTCCCTGGAGGGGCGGACCGGCTGAGGGCTGCCTCCATTTCTTTATGAAAAGGGCACCTGTACTCAGATTCGCTCTCTGGATGAGAAGCAGGTCTGTAGACAGGCTGGAATTCTTGCGGCAGAGAGTCAGGCCAGGGGGGCACACGAATGGTGGATTTGGGGACTGTGTGGAGGGGGGTCCTCTTGGCTTCGACACCTTTCAGCAAGGAGACCCTTCTTGCCTCAGGCTCCTGAGGGACGGATCCCCTTGGAGCCGGTTCGAGCCGGGCTTGGAGGGAACTTTTTCTCTGTTCGGCGGTGGAAAGGGGTTGCTGGCCAGGTGGCTCATGCCCCAGGGAGAGAGCCCGCTTCCAAGCATCCTCCATCTCCTGGTGGATTGGGCAGCGATACTCAGATTCATACACAGGGTGGAGGGAAGGCCTGTAAATGCCCTGGGTTGGTTCAGACCTTGCCTGGAGGGAGGTCCGCTTCACGTCTGGCTCCCTGGGAGGAGAGCTCCTTCGGCGGGTGAGTTCAGGGGGTGGTTCAAGTGTGCCCCGCCTCGGATCTGGCTCCCTGGGAGGAGAGCTCTTCCGGCGGGTGGGTTCTTGAGGGGGCTCATGGGTGCCTCGCCTTGCGTCTGGCTCCCTGGGAGGAGAGCTCCTTCGGCGGGTGGGTTCAGGGGGCGGTTCAAGGGTGGCCCGCCTCATGTCTGGCTCCCTGGGAGGAGAGCTCCTTCGGCGGGTGGGTTCAGGGGGCGGTTCAGGGGTGGCCCGCCTCGTGTCTGGCTCCCTGGGAGGAGAGCTCTTCCGGCGGGTGGGTTCAGGGGGTGGTTCAGGGGTGGCCCACCTCATGTCTGGCTCCCTGGGAAGAGAGCTCCTTCGGCGGGTGGGTTCAGGGGGCGGTTCAGGGGTGGCCCGCCTCGTGTCTGGCTCCCTGGGAGGAGAGCTCTTCCGGCGGGTGGGTTCAGAGTGCGGTTCAAGAGAGCTCCTCCTTGCTTCAGCCTCTGTGGGGAGAGGAAGGGCCAACCACACCTCTGCTTGAGGAGAGTCGCTCTTTGGGAAAACAGAGACCTTGTAGGCCGGCTCCGTCTGGGTCCACTCATCCTTGGGGTTGGGGACGTGTTTGCGGATGAGTTTCCGAGGTGGCTGGCAGGTGTCCTGTGGTCCCAATTCCAGTGCCAGCTGAGGAAACGCCTTGGGCACCTGAAAGGATTCCCTCCTTGGGGGATTTACTTGTGCAGAATCCTCCTTGGGGCTTGCCATAGGCCTCAGATAGCTCTGGGTTGTCACCTGGGGCAAGTCACTTGGATTTGGGGAGATGGGGGTGCATCTGTTGTCTACTTGGGTTCTCCCTATTCTGGATGCAGCCCGGGACCTCTGGTAGATTTCCTCCCGTTGAGAATTGAGGCTCTGTTGCATCGCCATCAGCATCTGACTGTTCGTCATGGTGAGCTGCCCCGGCTGGATGGAACACTTGCCGCACCGGTAGTCCACCACCGGCTGAGGGGAGATGTTCCGGATGGACGTCCTCCCTCTCTGCGGAGGACCCCCGAAGGAGAGCTCGTTTTCTTCCTGACACCCTGACCTCAAGGCAGGTCCCTGGGAGAGCTCACTCCCTCGGCGGGATGAGGTCCCAGCTGGGAGTTCGCCCCCTTTTGGTGAGGAGGTCCTGCTCCAGAAAGCGTCACTTCCTCTGTGGGGAGAATTGTTCTGTGGAAGGTCACCCGGTTGTTGGTAGAACGAATTCTCAGAGACCCCACTCCCTTTCCGCAGAGAAGGGCCCGGAAGGAGGTAGTTTGGCCCTCTTGGAACAGACGGCCTTCGGGGTTCCTCGGCCCCCCTCTGAGAAAGGGTGCCCTGGGAGACCTCGCTTCCCTTCCGTGAAGAGGCAGCCGGCGGAACGGACAGTCTTTGGGGAGCCTCGCTGACGCTCCCCCTCTGGGGCAATGCATTCTGGGACAGTTCACTTCCTCGCCGAGGGGAGGAGCTCTGGCCTGCATCACTCCCTCTGGGGGGCGAGGAGCTTCTCAGAAGCTCACTGGCTCTCTGAGGGCTGCTCCCTCGATGGGACTGGGTGCCGGAGGCTCCTTCTCGCCGAGGGGACGTGTTCCCCCGGGTTTCTCTGCTTCGCCGGGGAGCGCCCTGGCGGGGCTCGTGGGCTACGTTGGCTGGAACAGGTAGGACCATCCTGGTGGGCGGCCCCTTCTCATTGGAGCCCATGGCGCCGCTGGCTTCCCCTGGTCCTCCGCCGTCGGGGCACGAGCCCTGCCGGCAGTGCTAAGCACAGGTGATCTTGGGCCCTCCATAAAGCGCCTGGTTGTTCTGGGAGCATCTTCAGGGGCCCCTCCGTTTCCTCAGCTCGGCAGGGTCCTGGCAAGATCACAAAGCTGTGATGTCATCCTGCTGGACTGTGATGTCATCAGACACAACCCTAAGGACCTGCCCAGAGGCCATGGCCGCCTCTCCTATGCACGGCCCTTCGACGCACTGCATCTCTGACCCTGCCATGTTGGCCCTGCATCTCCAGGTTCAAAATGATGAAATTCCCCTGCAGGTCTTAACAACTTTAAAATAACTCTGTTCCCAGGGCTTTTTTCCCAACTAGGACTCCTCGGAACTGAGTTCCGGCTCCTCTCAGGTGGGCATCATTGCCAGAATGGCATTCATGGTGAGTTCTCTTTTTTTATAGAAAAATAGCAGTGGCCGTTCTAGAGCTGAGAGACAGTTGAACTTTGAAAGGTGGAGGACTTCTCCTTCCTTGGAGGTTTTTCAGCAGAGGCTGGGTGGCCGTCTGTCATGAATGCTTTAAGTGTGATCCCTGCATTGTAGAGGCCCTATAATTATAAGATGGCAATAACTAAAGCACAACGTTTAAAAAGATGCCAGTTTTGAACAACACCGGTCAATGCACTAGAACAGGGGTGGTGAACCTTATGCCCGATGGCTGAATGTGGCCCTCCGGGCCTTTATGTTTGGCCCTCAGAGTGCTCCCCAACCCAAGCCCCTCAGTGGACCCGCTTTTGCCTGGCTGGGATGCATCCTTGAATTCTGTTCTTACTCTCTTTTTGTCTGGATGGGGGACTGTCTGTGGGTGTGTAGACACTAGCCTACTATACAAAGGTAAATTTTGCCTTTGCTGCTCCACCCATTTTTCCTCTGGCCACACCCACCACTGGCAGGTGGCCCTCGGGAGGTTGGCCAGAGGGGAATGTGGCCCTCGGACTGGAAAAAAATTGTTTCCCCATACTAAAGGAACAGAGCAAAGCTAACAGAGATTCAGCCCAAACTACTGGTAACATTTAAGGGGAACGCCTTAGAATCAATGAATTGTAGAGCTGGAACCCATAGAGTTATCTAGTCCAACCCCTGCAGTGCAGGAATCACAGTCTCCATTTGCCAGGTTCCTGGAAAGAGATGGGGTCACCACCAAAAAGGCCCCGCAGCTGCATTTCCCCTACACTTTCCGTGGCAAAACGATGGAAGCACTTAGGTGGCCTGGCAGGTGGGGAAAGCGTTCTCCTAAACCCCAGGCTTCACAATCTGTGCTTTTTTCTCACAACAACCCTGCGAAGTGGGCAATGCAGTTATTCCCACTATACATGTGTGAATTGAATCTGTGTGTTAATTGCTCATTGACCGACTATATTATTAGTAATTTTATAGTAATACTATTACTATTATGAAGTTGTAACCTACTAAGTTCTACTCAGAGTAAACCCATTCAAATTAAAAGACCTAAGTTCATCATGTTGTTAATTCCAGTGAATCTGCTCTGAGTACAACTTAATTGGAGATCACCCATTATTATTCTTAATTTTTCCACTTTTTCTATTTTTTTTTTAGAAAAAAGGTTACAAGAAAGAAAAAGCACCCAATTTTTAAAACCCCACTTTTTAAAAGTCCACAGTCAAATTAAAAGCCGAGACCAGCAAAGTTCAATACTTAGTAGAATACCATCATTGATGTTTAAAGAGAATTTTCTGCAAATACCTGGAGACGATCTTATTACTTATTTGTTTATTTATTTATTTATCATTTTACTATGTTAATCTGGTGCCACCCCCTGGTTGGATCCCTCGCTTTCACCTAGCCAGCCACCACAGCTTCTGACATTGCTCTTAACCAGCAGGAGGCGCTCTCGCAAGAGCTGAGCACCCGCAGAGCATCGGGCGATGATGGGAATCTTCAGGGAAGATCAGCTCAAGTCCAAGACTTTTCAGTGGAGACTGTTTACCCCAGGGTTCTCTGGCCCATTCAGGCCCCAAGATCACCACAGGAAAGTGTACATTTGAATTTTAACTGCTATGAGGGGTTTTCCCCCCAAAAAAACAACAACAAAACATTGGTTTTGTTTGTAAAAAATTTAATGTAACTTGCTTTTAATGTGTTTTTTTAAAAGGTATTTTAAATGACTATTTTAAGCTGCGTTGAAAACCTCTGAGAGGCCTTTTGTTCTAGTAAGCAGAATATACATTTTGTGAGCTGTTTTTATTAGCTGTATTTTAATAGATTTGCTTTCTACATTGCATTAGAGTTTAATTACTTTTAAACAATTAAGGTAAAGGTAAAGGTACCCTTGCCCGTACGGGCCAGTCTTGACAGACTCTAGGGTTGTGCGCCCATCTCACTTAAGAGGCCGGGGGCTAGCGCTGCCCGGAGACACCGGGTCACGTGGCCAGCGTGACAAGCTGCATCTGGCGAGCCAGCGCAGCACACGGAATGCCATTTACCTTCCCGCCAGTAAGCGTCCCTATTTATCTACTTGCACCCGGGGGTGCTTTCGAACTGCTAGGTTGGCAGGCGCTGGGACCGAGCAACGGGAGCGCACCCCGCCACGGGGATTCGAACCGCTGACCTTTCAATCGGCAAGCCCTAGGCGCTGAGGCTTTTACCCACAGCGCCACCCGCGTCCCTTTTTAAACAATTACCTACGTGCTTTTAGCTTTTTGTATCCCCCCCCCCCCCCGTTGTTTAAATTTGTGTAAGCCGCCTTGAGTCGCAATCTGGGAAGAAGGCAGGATATAATGGAACATAATAAATAATAAAGATCAAGATCAAATACAAAAAAAAAAAAGCTTTCCTCCCGTCTCTTTTACCAGCTATCTCACAATTCCTGCTCCGACTGAGTGTATGCCCCCCTCTGTGTAGAATCGTAGAGGTGGAGGGAACCTAAAGGGTCATCCAGTCCAACCCTCTGCAATGCAGGAACTGGTGTGATTGTGGTGTGATTGTGTAAATGCACCAGTGGCATGCCTAAGGAGTGTTAAGTAGCCACAACTACTGCTAGGATGTGGGCCCCAGAGGGCTGGGGCAGCAAGAAGATTAAGGTGCACACATTCAGACATTGCTCTTGAGGGGTGCGAGATCGAGGTATGAACACACAAGCGTGAGCTTCTTCTAACCCCAGGAAACCAACTCTGGTTGGGCCAAGGCTGAACAGAGAGTCTGTGGCAGAGATGGGGCTTTGATCTGAAGGCCCTGAGAGTAGCCCAGTGCTTTATCGCTAAGCATCCAGTTATTCTCTTTCATCACCAGGGTGCCACCACTAAAAAGCCCTGCTCACAAGTGCCCTCCCACCTCTAATCTCACACCACCTATGATGGGAAGTTTTGCTTGACTCTGGCAAACCGCTCTAAGCTGAAGCATTCCTTCCTCACCCACCCTAGAATGTTTAGTTCACATTGAGTTCATGAAACATCGTACCCTGACCTGTTCTTAATGTATGGTTGACCACATCTACGGAATGCGATAGCTATGCTCTTTTAAGTTTTGTTATATCAATCATTAGTAATAGTTTAATAAGGAGGTTTTCATACCTGTCCAATTCTGTGTTCCCTTTCCCAACCTTTAATCTATTGATGATTAATGTCTATATGTAACCCTTGCATTGTATTTGTGTTAACCAATCAGCAACAAGCACATATGTGGCAATGCTGTAATATTCAATAAAAGGGACTCCCCAAGACATGCTCGAGAGATGCCTCCCATATGACACTTGTCATTCGTCTGGCGTTTATTTCAACCCAACACACCTAGAACCTAATAACACCAGCTAGGTCAAGCCAAAAGTCCAGCGTCAAACAAATGCCCACTGTAATCCTCCTTACACCGACCCTGAGAGGCTGCTCCATCTTGCAGCTACAGGGAGGAATTGGGGTTGAGATTCTGGCCACCGACCTACAACTCAGTTCCTAGTCTTCGTTTTGCAGTATTATTATTTTCTCCAGAGAGGTCACAAGAAGAGCTGTGTAGCCGGATGAAGCCAAAAGGCCAATCTATCGAGCCCAGAATCCTATTTCCACAGTGACCCACCAGTCCTCAGTGTTTTGGGGAGAGTTGAGAGAAAGCACACTTGACATGCTCAAAAGCTCATTTTGTCAAAGCAGCAGGAGCCCCGCCCCCTTCTCCCTGCTTTCCCCGGAGGGAGGAGGACTGAAAGGCACCCTTAGGGTGGTCTGAAGCTCCTCCTTGTTGAGATGGGATCAGATGCTCGGAGAGCATATAGTTTTGTTAAACGACACTACTGATTTCACTTCAGACGCCAAGGCAGCAGGAGCCCCGCCCCTTTTTGCTTGCTCGCCCGCTGGGAGGCTGAGAGAAAGCACTCTTAACATGCTCAGAATCTCCTGCTTAAGAGACCAAGGCAGCAAAAGACCCGTCCCCTTTAGGCGACCCCCGCCCCTTCCCGCTGTTTTGCGAGGTGGGGGGCTGCTTTAAAGCTCTCCCTCCCCCGCCCGCCCCTTCTTCCTCCTGCCGCGCCCACCGCCTTTTTTCCATACCGGGAAAGCGTCGTCGGCGTCGGCGTCCCCTTTAAGAGCGTCGGCGCGGCCGAGGGCGCCCCCTGGCGGCCCGCGGCGGCGCTGCAGGTGCAGGTGGAGGATCGCGCGCCTCCAGGTGCGGCCGCCGCTGCTGCTGCTCCGTCGGCTCGGCCGTCCCCACCATGGAGCGCGATCGGGGCCCGCGGGGCTCGGCGGTGGACCTGGGCTTCGGGGCGCTCAGCACCGCGCAGCTCCGCGCCCTCATGCGGGACGAGACGTGGCTGGAGCGCATCGTCAAGCTGAGCAGGAAGGTAAGCCCAGGATCGGGACCCCCGAGGAGGAGAGGATCGGGCCCCTGGGAGGGAGAGGTGGGACGGGGGGGCCGCATCCTGCCTCTTTTTTTGCACGCATCGCTTGGATAGCATGCATCGGGATGCATATCCCAGCCCCTCCCGGTCCAAACATGTAACCGACCCCCACCCCACCCCGCCATCCATCTAACCCCCCCCCGCCAATTAAAACACCCACAGCACACAAAGGGGGCACCGATGCCCCCATCAGGCCTGCCACTGCCCTCCTCTGAGGCCGTGCCACACACCCCAAAACCCTATTGCAGAGAGGGTGCCCGCTGATGAGGGGGGCATGGCATGGGGGGGCACAGTGCCCATCCAGCCAGGCCTGTGCTTGGTGCCCAGAGACGGTGTCCAGCACCACCACTGACGGCCTTTCCACAGAGGCTTGTGGCTATGACCCCCAAAAACACCCCATGCCCATGCCCCCCAAATGTGCAATCCTGTGGGGCAAACCAGCCGCTCCCTGACTGCCTCCCAACCTGGCCGATGTGCCTCTCCATCTTACCCCCCCAATCCAATCTGGGGGGGACCATAATGCCCCCCACTTACCTTCAAAGCTCCTACCAGGACACCCCAAACAAATTTGAGCACGGCTGCTGTTTCCTTGGCACCCCACTTCCTCAGTTACCCACCCACCCCCTACCAAAATAGATGCTACCGAGCCCTTTTGCACGGTGATTTTAATATTCTGCTGCTTCCCCAGACACCTGTCACTTGGACCCCCCCTCCCCAAAAAATTAACCGCCCCCTTGCAGCAGTTTTTGCAAAGGCTCCTTCTTTGTTATCTCTATGCCACTGGCGATACCAGTTGAGGGTCGAGGTGTGTGTGTGAGAGAGAGAGGCTGCAAGGGCCTGGATGCTTTGTCTGGGTGGGTGGGGAGCCTCCATCCTGGGGTGCCCCCTCCCTCCCCTCCCAAACCAGCCCCAATGCTCACAATCGCAAACCCACGCACCCCCCTGTCTGTTTTGTTTCTCTGCACCCTTAGGAAGGGAGTTTGGGATCCATCCAAGGCTCCCTGAATCAGCCAGAGGATTTATTTTTATTTTATTTGGGGGGGGGATGGCTGTTGCTGTCTGTATTGTTTGCAGGGTGGGTGGGTGGGCTTGCCAAATAATTGCCAGAGCCTTTCATACATTTGGATCACGGATGGCGTAGGGTTTTGCCTTTCCGACAGAGAGCCATGGAAACAAAGGACATCCTCTTTTTTGTTTTTGGCCAACCCCTACTAAATCTAACTAGCCTCCTCCCCGTTCCAGGAATACCACCCCCCGCCTCCTAATTCTGGCTCCCCAAAACCTTTACAGGCCCACTCAATTTTGTGTCCCCCCCCACCCCCATCCAGACACGTCACAGACTGCTGTTGCTGTCCATTCTCCCAAGAATACGTCGGGTCTGTTTATCTCAGAAAGGCACCTTCGCCTCGCGACCCTGGGAAGCAGGAGATCCCCCCACACACACACACCGTTTCCTGGGTTTGTCCCGGGTTAACTGCTCTGGAATAATTGTTTCTCTGTGGGGTGCCCCACAAGGGTTTCAGAGGACCCCGGGACCATCCTTGTGTGGTCCCACAACTCCGCCCCACTCAGTGCCCCAGAGAGGCTCCCAAATGGGGCCCGGGTGTAGAAAGGATTCCACATCGTGTGGACATTTAGCCAGGATTAAAACTGGGGTGGGTGATGCAAGGCCCTGTCTGCCCACCCTGGTTGTTGGGGGGGGGGGACCTAAACAAAGCCTTGTAGCACGCATCATACTTGCAATGCTATTTGAGAATTGCTTAAAGAATTGTCGCTCTGTGCAGTGTGTCATCTTGGAAGAATTAGACGCGTCTTGGGGGGGGGGGGAGAGTCCAGATGCCATCTTGCTCTGAGGCTCAGTCAGGGCAGCAGGTTAGGCAGAGGTGTGCACCGTCACAGTTTCTCATTGGCCCTGCTGCAAACTCAAGAGCGCTGAGCGGATCTAGCTGTTGGATATGGGTTGGTGGAGCGGAGAAGCATCCCGCTCTGGCCCATCTGATGAAAGTGAATGTTGCGAGGTTCGGGAAGTTCTTCCTGCGTTGCATGGTTAAACTATGGAACTCACTTCCACAGGGAGCCACCAACTCGGGTGGCTTTTATAGAGAATTAGACAAATTCATGGAGGATAATAAAGCTATCGAAGGCTACTCGCCATGGAGGGCCTATGCTGTGCCTCCAGAGTTGGAAACTCTGTTGCTGGAAATGGCAAGAGGGGAGAGGGCTCTTGCTTGTGGGCTTCCCATCTGGTTGGTCACTGTGAGAATGGGATGCTGAGCCAAATGGGCCCCCTTTGGCCTGATCCAGGCCTCTTCTTGTGTCTGTTAAGCACATGTATTTGGTTTCTTCCACGCAGGGGCTCTAAGGAGAGATGTTATCATTGTCTGTGACACTTGCGATAGTCAGCAGTTTAGAATCTAAACTTTAGTTGCCTTGTGGCACAGAGACATTCTCTCTGGTTATCCTTGTAAAGTCGCAGCTTGCTTCTTATCCCCACATTGCAGATGGGAAAACTGAGGCTGAGTGGTGATTGTTTACCCAAAGGCACCACCAAGTGAGTTCATGGGTGTTAGATATAAATCCCCTCTGTTCACAGTTTTAGCCATACTGCATGGTTCTTCTTCCTGTTGTTTTATAATTAAGTTTATTAGTTTACTTCCTCCATCCATCCTCTCCCCCACCCACCCCCCTGTGGGCTCTCTGTTATGAAGCAGGGCCTTTGTACTGGTGGCTCCACTGCTCTAGAGCTTGGCTCTCCCTGTCTGTGAAAGGGCGCCCTTGTTTCTTTCAGCTTTGAATTGTTTTGGTCACCAGCATATTACAAAAATCTACTTGACGTCTGCAGACTGTGTTTGTCAGCCATTAAAGATTGCATTCTGCTCTGGATAGGAGCTGTTTATGGCACAAAAGCTTTTAATAAGTTTAAAAACCTGTCCATCAATTTAATATCAATAACACAACACCATCAATGTGCCTGGCACTTTGAAAAGAGGTCCCTGCCTCATGGACCAAACAGTTGCACCATTTGCAAGAAACAGAGGATGGCCGAGCCGCAGAAAAGGTGCCTGGTGAGCAAACAGGTAGCTCAAGCAAGTTAGTCAAGCCGCATACTGCAGAGGATTGCAAGGCCAATCCTTGTTGTTGTTGTTGTTGTTGTTGTTGTCGTTGTCGTTCGTTGTCGTTGTTGTTGTTGTTATATTTATATCCTGCCTTTTCCCCAGACAGGGAGTCAAGGCAGCTTACACAAATTAAAACAAGACAGATAAAGCACAGAAGGCTAAAATCATATAAAAGATGATAGTTAAAAAGTAATTAAGCTCTAATAAAACAATATAAAAACAGATCTATTAAAATACAGATGTGGCACTATTTAAAAGCCCTTTTCTTTAAAAACAGCCGGTTCCCCAAAAGCCTGTTGGAATGAAGCGCTCTTCACCTGCTGGCGGAAGGGCAACAAGGAGGGAGCGAGTTTGGTTTCTCTAGGGAGGGAGTTCCTCAGTCTGGGGGCAGCCACCGACAAGACCAGGCACCCCGAAACTTGGCCCTCCAGATGTTTTGGGACTACAACTCCCATCATCCCTAGCTAACAGGACCAGTGGACAGGGATGATGGGAACTGTAGTCCCAAAACATCTGGAGGGCCAAGTTTGGGGGTGCCTGGACAAGACCCTCTCCCATATCCCCACCAAGTGTGCCTGTGAGGCTGGCAGGACTGAGAGAAGAGCCTCTGTATGGCTTCCCCCATCCTGCACACCAGCTAGACTAGTAGCCGAAACAACCAAACTCAGCCTCACCCACCTACCCTAAAATATTATTCCTCCAAACGTGGAGGCAGAGCATAAGCCATCCTGTCAAATAGCCACCGATAGCTTTATTCTCCTCTGTGAATTTATCCAGTCCTTTTTAAAAGCCATCCAAGTTGGTGGCCAGCCCTGCGTCTTCCTGTGGGAGGGAGTTCCACAGTTTAACACTGTGTCTGTCTGTTGCAGTTCCAGAACTTGCAGTTGGAACGGGAGAGGCGCCTGGCCTCCAACTACGCCTTGGCCAAGCAGAACCTGGCACTGCAACCACGGCTGGAGAACGGCAAGGCCTCCCTGGCCATCAAGTATCAGGAGCTGAGGGAACTGCGGGAGACATGCCGGGACAAGCAGCAGCGTCTGGGTGAGCCCCCTCCCCCCTCCATTTCCCAGCCTGGCAGCCATCTTTCTTTGAGCCTCGCCTGACCCCTCATTCTGGTTGTCTGCCAGCTGTGGCTCTCTGCGCGGAAGGGAAATTCTGCACATGCTTTTGTGACTTATTTGCTGTTTATTTCCTAATGTTTCTAAACCGCCTCCTTGTAGAAAACCTCAGAGCTGTTTGCAAAAAGAGTAAAACTGTAAGATTATTAATAAAAACCGCTAAGACATTAAAATTAAAATAAAACCAGCAACAAACTAAAAACACACCAACACTGTAAACAACTGACCAGGCTTGGTTAAACAAAAAATGTCTTTAGCAGGGGAAAGAGTGATGTCAATAGGCAGGGAGTTCCAAAGGGTAGGAATTTGAGTTGAGCTCCAGGCTGGGCTTTGTCGGACTGGTGTGTCCCATGAGCAGGGCTGCCAGACCTCCAGGGCTCACCTGAAGTCTGCAGGTTGGTCTGGCCCAGGTGGCAGGGGAAGCTGGCTGCAAATTATTGCATAGATTCTCTAGGGCGGGAGTCTGCCCTCCTGCCCTTCCTCCTCCCCTCTCCCAATTAACCTCCGTCTCCAGGGCTCAGTGGTAGGAGGGAGTGCAGAGGAAGAACCACCAGGGACTGCCTCCTGTGATATCACCCTAAGTCTCAGCTTTGGGCCCTGAAATCTCAGCTTCTGGGATGCTCCTGACCCGGTGACCCTATCCTTGAGCCACGCTGGCATCCTAGAATAGCATGTCATAGCCTCTTCCTATACCCCCATCCACCATGCCATGCCCTAGGATAGAAGCTTCCTGTTGTTGTTAATTGCCCACCCATCACCCTAAGGTCCCAAGGTGGCGTACAGCATTGAAACGCAGTATTAAAAACAATTAAAAACAACATTCAACCATAAAATTAAGGTGGTTCCTAAAACCATAAGCCTCAAGGGTCAAAAGGACCTTTTTGGTGGTGGCTCCCCACTTGTGCGAAGCTCTCCGCAGGAGACTTGACTGGCACCGCCTCAACATACACAAAACATTTCTTTTCTGCCTGACCTTTGGCTGTGAATTCTCTGTGGCCTCCTTCCGTGGGTGGGATGTTTTATCCTTGCGTTTTAAAAAGATGAACACGTTTTAGATTTTTCTCTGTGTTTTGTCCTGGGCTAGTTTAAACGTATGTGGGCTTATTTATTGCCTTAAGTCACTTTAAAACAAAAAACAAAACAACCCTCAAAGTTTAATAAGTAATAATAAATATTGATAGCCATGCCAGCTGCAGAGAGAAGAAGGGACTTGGGATCCAAAATATCTGGTTGGGGAAGTCTGGAGTATGCAGTGTGGCTTAGCAGGAGAGCCCCATACTTTTACAAGACAGCTATTCTTTTGGCTTAAAGTGTGAAAGAGACAAAAATGGCATTAAGCACTCCTGTATGTATGCAAACATCTGGCATTCTGAATTGGGGTGTGGACCAGTAGCCCCCAACACATCCTACAAGTATGCTTAGGGAGCCTGTAATTCCCATTAGCACAGCTGCATGAGACCCAATTGCTTGTGTGGAGTCACTCTTGGACCGAAATGATGGGGCATTGAGGTCACCCCTCCAGGAACCTTCCCCTTTTATTTGCTCATTTGAGAAACTGCATTTATTTACCACTATATATCATTTTTAAAATAAAAAACACACACAATCAAAGCAGTGTTCAACAATAAAACCATAAAAAGGTTAGAAACAGACAGCAGTCAACCAGTGAGGAAGGATGCATTTACAATTGCCTGCGAAGTATTGGCAGAATAGAATAGTTTCCAGCAGTTGTTTAGATGCCGGCACAGAAGGCGCCTGCTGAATCTCTAACGGCAGAGAGTTCCACAGGACACCAAAGGTTCAGTTTCTCATTGTTGTGCAACAAGCATCACCAACCCAGGGAATGGCCAGCGATGTTCCTGCAGATAATCTCAGTGATCAAGTTGGGATGTGAGTGTTCAGGCAGTCCCTGGTCAGGAAGGGAATCTTCCGAAAGCAATTTGCAAGCCCCCATGTCACACCAGAAACTACAATGCAATTTAAGGAGGAGGGCGGGAAAACATCAAAACAAAGCAATTTATTCAGGACTAGCAACTTGCCCATCCTACTAGTTCTGTACACTAAACTTTTGCCAACCTGGTGTCCTCCAGAAGTTTGGGACTATGGCCAGATTCACCCCATACATTTAGTGGACTGTGATACCATGTTGAACAGTCATGGTTTCCCCCAAAGAATTCTGGGAAGTGTTGTTTGTTTAGGGTGCTGAGAACAGTTAGGAGGCCCTTATTCCCCTCCCAGAGCTACAATTCCCAGCGTGGTTTTACAATCCCTCTTCCCCAGGAAGGCTGCCAGGGGGTCAGTCCCTGATGTCTCCAGGTAGCAGGCTGGGAGAGATGCCTTTCTGAAATCCTGGAGGGCAGCTGCCCATCAGAGCAGACAGCCTAGAGGTAGAAGGACCAGTGAGTCCAACACTGTAAAGGCGGCTTGTATTCATCATTATATTTTATTATTTGTATGCCAACTATCTGACTGGGTTACCCCAGCCACTCTGCCGGCTCCTAACAAACTGAAACATCCGACACAGTAAAACATCAAACATTAAAAACCTTGAGGACTAGGAACTTACCACGATGGTAGATCACCTGTTATTTTGCTGACCCGGACTAATGTTCCGTTTCCTAGAGCAGGATAGAGAAGGAAGGTGAAGCCCCGATGGCGCCTTGGGATTAAACCCTGCTTCGTGGGAGGGAAGAGTGGGGACATGGGGAAGGAGTGTCTGCGACTGAGGCTGCTTTTTTGCCTGGCAGGGGCCTGCATGGCCAAGTGGACCCCCGAGAATGCAGTGAGCAGGCTGCAAGCTGAGCTGGACGGCGTGGAGGCCAAGGTGGAGGTGAGTTGCCATGAGGGGGAGCTAGTAGTGAGGGGAAACACCCACACTGAAGTGCATATGGCTGCCTGCCCCACAAAACTGTGTTGTACGGTTGTCAGGGAGTCCATCAGCTGTGGGCACCAGAGCCCAATAAGCCAAGTTTTCTGCTCAGCCTCATCCTCCCTGCTGAGTTCTGCGAGAGGAGGAGGAAACTCCTTGGGTGTTTTTGCCATGGTGGGCAATTCCCTTTAACCTTGACGGCTGAGATCGCAGAACCACAGAACAGTGCAGGGATCACAGCACAGATGGGGGGGGTGAAGGTTTGCAAAAACAACCTCCCCTGCAGAGGTTTATCATTTATTTTTAAATGAAATTTGTATACCACCCTTCGCCTGTTGATCTCAGGGCGGTTTGCAACCTAAAATTGCAATACAGTCGTGCCTTGGATCCCGAACACCTTGCGAGTTGAACGTTTTGGCTCCTGAACGCCACAAACCCAGAAGTGAGTGTTCCGGTTTGCAAACATTCTTTGGAACCCAAACGTCTGACGCAGCTTCCAATTGGCTGCAGGAGCCGCACTTTGGTTTCTGAACGTTTTGGAAGTCGAACGGACTTTCAGAACGGATTCTGTTCAACTTCCAAGGTACCACTGTATAAGATTTGCGTTCGTTGTCCCACCCACTTTTGCTCCTGGCTCCGCCCACCACTTGCACGCGAAGGTGTCTAAGAAGGGAACATGGCTCTGGGCTGAACAGGGTTCCCTGTCCCTGACCTCTCTGTATAAATTGGGCCCTGCAGGTTTCACTTTTCCCTCTTCACTTTAATATCATAAAGGGGGTCCGAGGGTCATCTAGTCCAACCCGCTTCAAGGAGGGGGTGAGAGGGGCGGAAGGCCCTCCAGAGGCTTGCTTGAATTCTCCCATTCCTTCCTCCCCCTGCCCTGTTTATTTCCAGGAGCAGATGGAGCAGTTTCTCTGCTGGGACCTCCCCGTGGAGACCTTTGTGGAGTCTTTCCAGCACGCCCGAATGCTCTCCCACCTGCGCCGCACCCAGCTAGAGAAGCTGCAGAGTGCCCTCAAACTGGAGAAACTGGAGAAGGCCAAGGACAAGCCCAGCCCCGGCAGCGAGGAGCCGCCCGCCGTCTCCCCCGCCCTCCCAGTGCCAGCGCCGCCTCCGCCCCCACCTTCGGCCCAAGCCCCTCCTCCAGCGCCAAACGGGCCGCCCCCCAAGGTCTTCCAGCTGCGCTTGGCGCCAGCGTTCCTCATCCCCTCAGAGGCCGTGCTCCCCATCCCGGTGGGCACCGGCCCCCAAAAGTGCTGCCTGCCGGCCCTGGCCACCTCGCACCCTGCCGCTCCCTTTGTGAGCTCGCCCTTGAGCCTGATTGGACACATCCACCTGGCGCAGGCCCACCTGCCTCCCCAGCAGAAGAAGAAGGAGCCGCCACACCGGTAGCCGACCGCAGCTGACGGACCGTTTTTACCGGAGCCTCCGTCGCGAGACGAGACGGGCCAGGGTCCGGGGCGCGGCGCCGCCAGCACCCCCCGACCTGCCAACCACTCTGCCCGCCCAGACTTGCCCGGAGCTGGGGCGTTGGGGTGGGGCAGGACTATGGCAGCTACAGGGGGGTGTCCTATATGATTTAGACGCTCGGCGCTGTCTCTGTCTCCCATCTCTTGGGGCTGCCTGGCCGGCTGGGGCTATCAAACCTTATTGTAAGTATAGGTGCCGGAGGGCCGGGGGGGGGCTGCCCTCCCCCATCATTTAGAAATAAGGGAAAGTCTATATTTAGCTCCACCCCTCTCCTTTTTTGTGGGGGGGCCCTATGACCATTCTGCACCCATTCGACGCCAGAAAGAGCATAGGAGCCAACTCTCGGGGGCCGAGGTCCCTTCGTCGTCGTCCCCATAAAATATTTGAGGGGGCCCCCCAAAGTTGATAGGCATTGCCATTTAAATGGTGTGCGTGTGCCGCGTCTTGTGATCGATTATGCGGGGCGGGGTTTACCTGAGCCCCCCGATATTTTATCCCATTTGGCACCCCTGAGAGAGAGAGAGACTTGCAGGCTGCCCCCCCATCCTGCTTTGAGGCGGCTGGCTCTGGGTGGGAACGCCTGTACTCCAGACCCAGCCCACAAACAGAACTTCCCCTATATAGCACAAGTGTCTCCATTTTGGAAGCCAGAGGGAAAGACCGAGAAAAGGGGTAGAGTAGAGCACATTTGGGATGGGGGTGTGGGGTGAAGGGAGTTGGGCACAGGCAGATATTCTGTTGGTGGGGTGTGTGGTTGTTTTTTCTGAGCCAGAAGCTGAATTCTCCTTCTCCCCCTCTCCTCCTCACAATAATTTGTATGTTGGGAGTGAGGTGGGGGGGGCAGCTTCTGAGGTAGAACTGGGAGGGCTAATTTGGGGGGTTGGGGGGCAAGGGCTGAGGTTGCGAAGCACAGGGTAGGACATGAAGCCCAAAGTTAGGCCACGGCTAGAGGATGGGTTTGTGGAACCAGCACACACGGATTCAACAGGGTATGGGGTGTGGGGCTCAGCCAGGGTCTGGGGCGGGGGGGAGGGCGGGGTGGAATTTGTCTTTCCGGAAGACGTAGGGCTGAGCGACACACACACAAAAAAAACTGGGGCGGGGTGGGCCAGGTGAGGATGTATTTTTGAGCCGTTTTAACTTGAATGTGCTTGCAAAAATTTGAATTGTCAGCATCGGGGGGAGGCTGCAGCGAGAAGGAGGATTGAACCGGAAAACTTATTTGTGTTTTTTTAAAAAAAATATATATCCAGAGAGTCTCAAGTGCTCCCTCATGGAAGAGGTGGTTTCTGTGTCTCTGCATGAGTCACTGGCCCAGTTTTCTTCTCTTGTTAAGGCTCCTCAGGAGCTGGTACAAGTGAGTCATTCGGTCACTGCCGAGGGAACCAGAAAGCAGTATTCTGACCTGCCAGCAGATGAGGCTGCCTGCCGCTTCTCTGCATGAGCAATTTGTATGAAGTGTCTCGAAAAACGTTTTTAAAAAGAGCGAAACAAATCTTGAAATTTGCGTTCAGCTGTCAGAAGGTCCCCACTTTTTGGTGACGGGCGGTGAGATTTTTATTTCAGCTCTTGCAGATGGGGCATGCCCTGTCATCTGGAGACAGACAGCTGAGATGGGTAAGGATGAGTGCAGCTGTCGCACCTCTGACTGTGCCATCCCTGGTGTAGAAAGAGCGTTTGGGCTGTCCCTGGGTAAGCTGGTGAGAAAGGTACGGCTGTGAGAGATGACTGTGGGGAGCCTGCTCAGGCAGGGGACGACTTCTCCCCTCTTCCATGGGGCATGACGTCCCTGTGACTGATCCCACTTTGGGAGAGGAGGACGGCAGCGCCCTCCACCTCTGGCTGGTTGCTGGAGTGATTGTGTAGCAGGAGGGATTGTGTACCAGGGCAGCTCCTCCAATCCAGCGCTGAGAAACCAGCCCCTGATGTAGAGAGCCAGGCGGTCTGGGACAGTGAGAGGAAGAAAGCAGCTGGAGGCCTGGAGGAACCTTCTTTCTTTGCTTGAACCCAGGCAGGAGCATGGCACGGCAGCTATGATGAAGGGAATGCACTCTGCACACGCTCAGAGGCACTGTCAGCATTCCACAGGTCCCTATGCTGAAAGCACATCCAGTTGCTTTGCCTTGCTAGATTACTCCAGTTCAAATGAACCTCTGGCCAGCCTAGTTTTCCTTCTACACTGTATGATCCCTGACCCCCCTCACTGCTGCAGCCGCCAGGTTCTCCAGTCACAGAGTCATTACAACCACCTATTTTCCCTCCGCAAGGAACGGCTGCAAAATCCAGTTCCTGGAGGAGGAAATGTAGAGGATTGGGCACTGAGTGGTTGTGATTCAGGACCATCTGAAACCACCACTCTAGAGGGCATATTCCAGGGAGCTGAAATGAAACGCCTATTTAATTTTCATAAAATTTATCCTCCGCTTGATTGTAAGGAAAACCTTGAAGCGGTATACAGTGTTTGATGAGGTCTGAATCCCAAATGTCAAGCTTGGTGGAATTTGGCAGAAGCAAAGCCAGTTTGCAAAAATAAAGGGGGGGGGGCTGAATTATTGGTAGGAAATGGAATCATAGAATGGAAGAGTTGGAAGGGACCAGAATAGGGAGGCTGCAGCCCTCCAGATGGAGCCAGACGCCGGCTCCCATCATCATCGTCCCTGACTACTGGTCATGCTGGCTGCTGGGAGTTGGACTCTAGCATCTAGGGGGCACCAGGTTGGCAGGCTTATATCATGGCACTCCGGAGGGCCCCCCTCCCTGGCTTTGCAGTAGTTATGGTGGCCCCTGATCTTGAATGCTGGAATTGTCAGGACTGACACTGATTAAAGAAAGTCCTTTTTTGTGCAGTGCAAGGTTGAACTGTGGAACTCCCTGCTACAGGAGGCAGTGATGGCCAGCAGTCTAGATGGCTTTAAAAGAGCATTAGACAAATTCATGGAGGAGGAGGAGGACCATTGATGACTACTAGCCATTATGGCTAGTTAGGGCTTCCACAGTTAGAGGGCCAGGAATGCTTCTAAATACTGGAAATTACTGGAAATCCCAGGAGGGGGAGAGGCTCTCAGGTCCTGCTTGCAGGTTTTCCATAGGCATCTAGTTGGCCCCCTCTAAAATAAAAGGCTGATGGGATAGAAGGGCCAATGGCCTGATCCAGCAGCCTCTTCTTAGTTCCTCTGTTGTTAGACTTCATCTCCCTTCATCCCTGGCCAATGGCTATGCTGTCTAGGCCTGGTGGGAGTCTAACAACACCCGGAGGAAGGCCACAGATGTTCGCCCTCCACTCTGGTTTTATAGGCTGGCTCTCTGAAACCTGCTAGTCCAGAGCCCTGCTGGATCAGGCTGAAAGTCCACAGCGTTCAGCGTTCTGTTTCCACTAGCAGCCAATCAGATGCCTTTGGGAGGCCCACAACAGAATTCCCGGCTGGTCATTTCCAGTGGGACAACTGCAACTCAGAGGCAGACTACCCCTGAACCTGGAATGTCTCTTCAGCTGTTGTGACGGATGGCTGACGATATACCTCTCCATCCATGAATTTGCCCAAACTCCATGTTTTAACTGGAAATGTAACAGAGGGTGTTGCTTTAGAAAATCCGGTGGGTGGGGGCGGGATGGCTCCATTTGCAGAGGAAATCTGACATTCCAAAATTTGTCTGAAACCTTCTAAGTTGTCTCAGCTCCCAAGGAAGGAGAGGAGGAAAGCAGGGGGCCATTGGGCAATTATATTTTAATTCATTTAAATGCATGCAAATGTAACACGGCTGGTTTTCTAGCATCGATACAGAACAGTTTTCCTATTTGATGGCCAGGTTAAAAAATATATACAACCACCTGGGTTGAGCTTTGAAAGAGCCCCACATCCTGGTTTTTTTGGGGGGGTAGGTGGGTGATAATGTATTTCCACCTATATCCAGAAACAACCCCCCCCCCCAAAAAAAGACCTCACTTTCCTGAGAAAGCCTAGTGGCCTCGTTCTTGGAATATAATTTTGCTGATTTGATTTTTTTCTCTGCAAGATTTGAGAAACGGGGGGTGGGGGAGGAGAGGAAGGGGCAGTTTCCTGGGGTTCTCCCCGTCTCCGAAACATCAACTGAACTTTCTTGACACTCTCCCCACCCCCACCCCATTACAAGCCAGAACCTCTCTCTTTCAGGATCCACTGCAAAACTTTCCATGTGTGTCGGGGGTTGGGTGGGTGGGTGGGTGGGGGTCTTTAAATATTCCCACGGTCTCAATCCGATTCCGGCAGCTTCAAGGTAGACCCCATGCTGTCTTTGTGGACGTTTTCTTTTCCATGTAATGTTTTTGGAAAAATAAGTGTGGAAACAAGTATATAAATATAAATATATTCTTTGGAATAAATCGAAGGAATACATTTCTGCCAGCGGCGTTTTCAACTGCAGGGGTCATCTGCATTCTAGAGACACTGAAGTATGTGGGCGGGCGAGAGACCAGCATCATGGTGGAAATGAGATTTTCATAGAGCTGTCAAGTTGGAAGGGACCCAAGGGTCATCTAGTCCAACCCTTCAGTGCAATTTGTTTTCCAGTTGGCACATGAAAATTTGCAGGATGTGCCCATTAAGTCACAATGCTCTGCGGTCTCCAAAAGTAGCCACAGTGGCAATGCATAGTTGCCTATTTAAGTTCATGCCTATCTCTTAAATCGATGGTTGCAGACCTGCTAACAATGGCAGTCATTGCAATGTGCTGGGCATGTTGGTTGCTAAGCATGCAGATAGGTCTGAGAAGAGGCTGAAGATTGGAGGAGTGGCTGCTGATGTCACAAAGGCACTAAGGGCTACTTGGTACAGAATCTTATGAGGAACGATTGAGGGAGTTGGGGAAGTTTAACCTGGAGAAGACCAAGAGGTGATATGAAAGCCGTCTTCAGCTATCTTAAAGGGGTCACATGGAAAACAACAGCACTGAACACCAGCTGTATTTGTTGGGTTGATGTCTCTTCCGGATATGAGACGAATAGGTGGTCTGCTGAGACCACAAGCTGAACATGAGTCAACAGTGTGATGCAGCAGCAAAAAAAGCTAATGTAATTCTAGGCTGTATCAACAGAAATCTAGAGTCTCGATCAAGGGAAATGATAGTCCCACTCTGTTCTGCCTTGGTTAGACCCCACCTGGTGTCCTGTGTCTAGTTCTGGAAGGTGTGCAGAGGAGGGCAACCAAGTTGGTCATAGAATTATAGAGTTGGAAGGGACCCTAAAAGGGCATACAGTATACTGGACCCAGGAAGTCCTATTGATGCCCCATAGATCTGTGAGGGAAACTGGGAGAGCGGACCCTCTGGAAGTTAAGATGCTGATGGACTATGGCAGGGGACGTGTGTCTCACAGGCCTTGTGCTTTGCAACACAGCAAGCTTCCCTATAAGCAAAGTTTTAACAATTCAGACAAATGTTTAAAAGGATATTTGTTTTATTTACTTATAAAAATATTTGTATACCGTAAAAATATAGCAAAGCAGTTTACAGCAATAAAAACATAAAAGCAGATAGGAAAAGCATAACAAGTGAAAAAGACAAAAGCTAAAAACAAGCATCAGTAAATCATTGTGGAAAGATATATTCTTAATAGCCTGCATTGGCTTGGTGGAATAAAAAAGTTAACAACAGGTGTTTAAAAGTTGGCCTGCTGAATATGTAGTGGCAGAGAGTTCCACAGGTCTTGGCTTCTCATTGTTGTCATATGAGCCTCACCAACTCTGGAAATGATCAACAGCACTCCTTCAGATGTTCTCACTGATCGAGCTGGGATATCTTAAGGGATTAGGTGATCCCCAAGGTACCCTGGACTTAATTGTCCAGGGATTTGTAAATTAATACAATATTCGAGGCTCAGTGTGAAAAACCCAGGGCAGGAGGTGCTTGGGGCGACCCTAACAACACCCCTGTGAGGCAGGAAGCCAATACACCCTCTAGAGAGGGGCTGGTTCCCTACTGTATTAAGCTCCAACGGATTGCGCCCAGGCCTTGACAAATTAGCATGGCTTGGGCCACAGGCCCGGCGCTCTCCAGGGTAGACAGTAACAGAACATTCAATCACAACAGAAATTCGCATCACCAACAGCTCCTGCAAATATAGCAGGCACAGCCGGCTGGCAGGGTGAGCGTTTGCCTCGGCATAGCACAGCCGTGTTTGCTGTTTCGGGGGAAGCACCAGACAAAATATTGGCGAGGCTCTCCCCAGTCAGACAAGCAGTGGCTGCTTCTTGGAAAGACAGAATGTTTTAAAAGATGCCCCCCCCAAAAAACAACAACAACATGAAATGTGTGTTTAATTAACAGCGAAACCTCCAGCAGATACTAAGAGCAGAAACCAGGCATCAATCAAGAAACACAAATAAGGAATTAAAGAGCAAAATAATTCAACACAATAAATACGGCCTAACATTCAGTAATATATTTTTACATCACACGAGGGCAGGGAGAGAAATGTTCAACAAGGGTATGGCCTCTGAAGAATAAAAGGATCTTTGTTGCAGACTCCTGTTCAGGTCTACTCTCAAGTGAGGGAGTAACTTCGTTCAGTGAGGAAATGTACAGCACTGCTATATTCTGTCTTGGTCAGATTCCTTTGCTCAGTTCTGGGCACCCCAGTTTAAGAAGGATATTGAGAAGCTAGGAGGTTTGCAGAGAAGGGTGACCAGGGTGATAAAGGGCCTGGAAACCAAGCCTTATGAGGAACGGTTGAGGGAATTGGGCATGTTTCGCTTGCCGTTCATATATGTGTTTATGAGGTGTTAGCAGAAGGGTACACCATGCTCCTTCTAGGGTAGCTGCTCCACCTTTGGTCCCCGCTTTGCACTCAGCTCTCACCTGTGGCTCATATAAGCTGTCAGCATGAAACATTGGCCATACCCCAGAAACAGTGTCAATTGGCCAGCTAAACCAGGTGAGGGTAGCCAATAGGTCTCAAACCCTCAGTGAGTTAGGGACTTCCTTTGCATGCGAAGACATGTTCTGGTGGATTGAACAGACAAAACCAATAGTGGGTCCATACTGTCACAAGGGCAGTTTTGGGACTTGTCAACCTGGGAAGGTAGCCCATCTAGGAGAAGGAAGACTGATCCTAAACTTCTGCTTCCTTATGGGATATCTGGGAGAAGAAAAGGCTAAGGCGTAAACCCTAAACAAATCCGAAGTGAAGTCCCTAAGATGGTTGGATGGTGCCTTGTACTCCTCCTTCCAGCAACTCCTGCAGCCAAGCTGGTGCCAAATGTCTTGTTCTGCTTTCTTTTGGACCATATCAGCGAGGCCAAGAGGGGAGATTCTTGCCATCTAGGCAGCCCAGGATCTCCATATACACTGCCCAGACTTGCGCCCTGGGGAGGTCACTTTGGTGGTGCTAATGCAGCAGTGACTTCACCCCCGGAAGCACACTCCTTTGTCTCTCAAGACAGAAGGATGCTAATGATAGATAGATAGATAGATAGATAGATAGATAGATAGATAGATAGATGGAAGATAGATAGAAAGAGGAAGAGTTGTTGGGTAGCTCACTTTCCTTTTCACAAACTTTAAAAAAAATTCCTCGGAGAAAATGGTAGGGGGAGCTTGAATGTCATCAGTAATAATTAAATACTCTGTTTCTATTGAAAATAGTTCTATGTGTGTTTGTGTATGCACACATTAAGGCTGTGGTTGTGATTTGGAGTAACCCCAAATAATGCTGATTTGGGTGCACGAACTCTGTTCGCCTTCATTCAGGCTAATGCAGCTCTGTGTGGAACCAGGGACAGAGTGGAGTTTCAGCCTTGCCTTGAGCTCCTGGTGGCTCCCCCATCAGAAATCAAGCACTGCTTGCTGGAACCATAGCTGGAGAACTAAGTTGGCTGGATCCTGTTCCGTCCCCCCCACTCCCACCCCCAAGCCTTCAGGGACAGGTTATTATGCTCATGAACTAGCTGCTAAGTAACCGCTGATGGGGAGGAGGGGGTCCTCTTAGCCCCCCCAGTTGCTTAGGTTAATAGGAAATCAAACGCTTTCCCAGAGAGGGGGGGGACTGGAAGGTGGGGGGAGAGAGATCTGCTTCCCATTTGCCAGTGGGTAACCCCTGGTTACAGGCAGCAGAGTCGCTGTCTCTAGGATGCCAGCCGGGCCCTGCGATTGGTGGAGAGGACCAGCCAGGCTCTCCTGCTCGCTGATGGGCCGCCCGTTGCCCTGGCAACAGCAGCATCCAGCTCCTCCTGTGTGTGAGAGAGGGATGTCTTGCTGTTCTGCAAACCTCTCCAAAGAGCCCTAGCAACTGCGATGTGCCTTCACCCGACAGTCAGGATCGTGTGGGGTGTGTCTCAGAGGACCCCCCACCCCGGGCTGAAATAAGCAGCACATGCAACAAGGAGTATATACCTACTCCCTTTCTGCAGGCTCTGTGGCATGGCTGGGGGGCCTGTGGGGGGCTTCCAGGTGCTTTTATTTGGTTATTTATTATATATATATTCTAAGGAGCTACGTACATGGTGCTCCCACACACATGCTGCATTTTATCTTCAGCACAACCCTATGAGGTAGGCCAGGCAGAAGGAGAGGGGGAGAGGGAGAGAGGCTGAAGGTCACCTAGCTGAAGGTGGATGGGATTTAAACCTGGGTCTCCCTGGTTCTACATGCTAAGTCAACATCCTTCAACTTGCATGGTCCTCGGGATGTTTTGGACTCCCAGCTCCCTTCACCATCCCATGCTGCCTGGGGCTGATGTGAGTTGTATCCAACAGTCATGAACAGACTGGCAGCCCCATCACATTTTTCTTCTTTAATTTGTGGGCTAGCTTTTGTGAACTTGGGGGACAAGAGGTCCAAAGCACTGAGGAAACCCAATCCTGGGACTTCAGGCTTCACACTTG